GGGACCAACACACACGCGGGAGGGCGACGACAGAACTGTGCCCCTTACCGTGGTGGCCTGCGCTGCGGACAATCAGAGAAGAGAGGCTCGGTGTGGGCCTGGCTTGGGGAAGGCTTCCTGGAGGCAGAGCTTTGGCAGAGGGTGGGTGGGATTTCGGTGCCCAGCAGGGGGTGGGAGCCGCACTTCAGGAACTTTGGAGCCACTTGTGGACAGGCCTGCATGGTGCGAACCCATGACACCGTGCGTGGGCCACTCGCCAGCACCCCCCCCACACACACACACACACACACACTAGCCCATGGGTGCCCTGCAGCAACATGTTTTACTCTGAGCTTCCCCTAATCTGACCAGGGCAGGCCCAGTGGTTCGCTGAGGGTCAGTGTGACAGGCTGGAGCAGGGGAGGCACCTTGCACTGTAGGGACAAATGATGCTGATCAGAACTTAAGGAGAAAGGCTTTAATCCCTGCCCTTCTAGGCTCCGGTTCAGAAAAGAGAAGTGTTTTTCTACGGGGACAGGGGCCTCTGGTGCTGTCCTTAAAAGGCCTCCCCTGGACCCAGGACTGGGACAGACTACAGAGTCTACAGGATATCAGGACTCCTGAGTGATGAGTCATGTGACTACCCAAGGCGTTCAGGTATTTAAGTGCCTTCCTCACCCTCTGAACCCCCAGAAGGAAGAAGTCTGCTGGGAGAGAGAAAACCATCAGGGGCTGTGGAGAGGGCCTCTAGAACCCTGGGACCAGCCCTGTACTGCGCTATCCAGAGGGACCCACGGCCCAGAGACTAAGGTCACGCAGGACATCGGTGGCAGATCTGGGACTTTAGGTTCTGTTCTCAGTGATTTTTGAGTTTCCTTGAGTCCCTGCCTTGGTCTTGCCACAGCAGAGAAATTGGACGCTGTGGGAAGCCAGGGCCACAGGATTCCCTGTGCTCCCTCCCCTGACTGCCCAGACATGCAGAGACTGCTGGTAACCAGGGAAGGTTGGGAGATCCTGGCCTTCTGACCACCCCTCTGCCCCAAGTAAGAGACCATGTTAAGTGCTAATTTGCTGTGGGGCCAGAGGGTGTCCTGTCCATCCCTGCACCTCAGTTTCTTTGTAAGTAAAGACTTGGACCACACAGTCACTGTGTGGTCTGGAATTGCCCAGAGGAGGGCTGGGTGGTCATGGAGGAAAAGGGTCCTGATGTCTCTCTTCCCCAAGGTGTGTTCTGGGGGCTCCTTCTTCCTGTGCCCAGCTCCTGGAAGGCCTAGGGTGGGGTAGACTTGCACGAAGGCATCCTTGGGACACTCCACTAAGGCCCTATGCCATGTCCCTAGCTTTCTGACAGAAGTGTCTCCTTCAAAGTCCCAAAGGCAGCACCCCCCAACTGGCAGCCCCTGTGCCACAGAGAGCAGGAGCAGGTGTCTGTATGAGGGGCAGGCCTCCGCACATCTGTGCACGTGGGGATCTGTGGAATACTTTGTGTGTCTGTGGGAAGATCAGTGTGTATATCTAGGTTAGCCCTTGGGAGAGGTTTGGGAGTTCCCTGCCTACATACATCTGTGCATGTGCATGATGTAGGTATCAGATGTGCACACACTCAACACCCACCACCTTCTCTGGGCAACACTCTCACTGAGCCACCACCAGGCGCAGGTAATTCAGTCCTCACAACCATAGCTAGGAGGCAGGTTCTATCATCACTCCATTTTACAGATGGTAGAATAGAGGCCTGAAAATGTAAAGAAACTCCTCCATGCCTCAGTTTCCTCATATCCAAAACCGGGAAATGGGCAAAATGAAGATTGTGTTGCTTTTTTTTTTTGAGACAGAGCCTCAAGCTATCCGCCTGGGTAGAGTGCCATGGCTTCACAGCTCACAGCAACCTTCAACTCCTGGGCTCAAGCGAGTCTCCTGCCCCAGCCTCCCAAGTAACTGGGACCACAGACGCCTGCCACAACGCCTGGCTATTTTTTGGTTGCAGCCGTCATTGTTGTTTGGCGGGTCCAGGCTGGATTCGAACCCGCCACCTTAGGTGTATGTGGCTGGTGCCTTAGCCACTTGAGCTACAGGTGCCGAGCCGATTGTGTTGCTTTTTAAAAATAGATATCACACATTTCCTAAGCATTTACTCCTGTCCTCAGACTCTACTCTCCCAAGGGATGATATTGGTTTGACTTATTCTGTAGCCCTTCCACAGCCCCATGAACCTACAGTAGACTTAGGGTGGGACTCTTGTCATTTGTCTGGTTGAGAAAACAACCCTAAATGATTAGTTTTGTGGCCATGCAAGACTAGTTTCTAAAGCAGCAACTTTGTTTTGGCTTTCCTTTTCTAACTGAATATACAAATCTTTTTTAATGCTATTGGAACAAATTCTCTCATCTATTTCTTCCCCCAATGTATTTATAAACTCATGAATGAAACAGGTGCCAATGAATGGTTTTGAGGAGCATTCTTTTCTAACTGTAAAACCAGAATCATTCACCATCTTTGCCATGGTCAGGTAGGGCTCAGTTTGAAATGTGCAAACACATGTAACTCATCAAGCCAATCCTCAGAGTGGGGGGTCATTATTACTGATATTAATGCTTTGCTTTTGTTACTGTCCCTTAGAATCCGTAGTAAGCAAAGCCTGTATTATGCTGTGGCCCCAGCTCCCTATCCCACACCCACAGTTGCCTAGGGCACCCTTCCATACTCCCCTCCCTGCTCATGCACGCAGCCATGCTGAAGACCCTGGGAGAAGCATTTCCAGGGCAGGAGTCCAGCAAAGCCCTCTGTGCTGGAGGATGAAGACATCTGTTCAGCCCCTGTCCTCCCACCTCCCATTATGTCCCCTCCAGCCCAGTACAGGGTGGAGAATCTGAGGTGATTCTGCAGGAGTCCAGTCTTGGAGTGTGTGTGGCTTTCCAGAGAAGGGACACTCAACTGAGGAGTGGTGGGTGTGAGTCCACAGATGGGAAGCAGGGTGGTGCAGAAAAATGACACATGGCTCCATTAAAGGGGACGTTTCTTAACGCCTCAATTAGCAAAAGCCAAAAAACAAACAAACAAACAAAAATCTCTGTCTTGGACTATTAACCTACATGTTTGTCTCTGAGGCTGCAGAGCTCCCACCAAGATTGGATCCTGGGCAGTGGGCAGGTGGGGACAGAAGAGAGTGTCTTGACCCAGCACCACGAATGAGCCTCAGACACCGCAACCCCAAATTGGTAGAGAGGCTGCTGGACATGGGCTTTCAGACACAACTTCAACTGAAAGTTAAGAATCACAGTCCTGGCTCGGCGCCTGTGGCTCAAGCGGCTAAGGCACCAGCCACATACACCTAAGGTGGCGGGTTCAAATCCAGCCCTGGCCCGCCAAACAATGACGGCTGCAACCAAAACAGCCAGGTGTTGTGGCAGGCGCCTGTGGTCCCAGCTACTTGGGAGGCTGAGGCAGTAGACTCGCTTGAGTCCAGGAGTTGGAGGTTGCTGTGAACTGTGATGCCACAGCACTGTAACCAGGGGGAAAGCTTGAGGCTGTCTAAAAAAAAAAAAAGAAAAGAAAAAAAAGAATCAGTCCCTTTAGCTGGGGACAGAGAGCAAAAGGCCAATGGGACTTTGTCTCTATCCTGTCCAAACATTCTGTTCCACAGATCCAGAAGATGAGTTCCCAGAATGGGAGGACATGCCTGAAGCCACAGAACAGAAATTAAAAGTTGGTTTAAAAAAAAAAAAAAAACCATTTCTAATAGGGCCACACCTGAACACCTGGAAGGACACCTAGTCAGTATTCTGAGCCCACCCCCTAGCCATTGCTTCACTGTGTGGGGGTCACTCTGGCAGCCACAAGAGAAAATGACCAGTTGTCCACTTTAGTTTCCTCCTGAACTTTTAGGGCCCATCCACAGGATGGATGCCTGCAGGTCTCAGTACCCTCACCTACACTCTTAGAATTGTCTCTGCAAACAGCTCAGACAGCCAAGAACTGTGGGGGTGAGAGTAAGCAGGATTGAGAGGCAGGTGTAAAGGGAGAGTCTGGGCAGAGGAGGGAGGCAGAGAAGGGGCCACAAGGCAGGGTGTCAGGGAGAGGAACAATGAACAGGTAGAGGCACAGCTGGGGTAACTGGCACCAGGTCTGCAGGGCATCTCTCTGCGGCCTGGAAAAAAATGACAACTACCGTCAAGAGGCTCTTCAGAAGTGGGGCTTGTTTTCCTTCTGAAGGTGTCCCCTTACAGAAGCACCACGGGCAGCCAGCTGTATTTCTGGCATGCCAGAAAATCTCGAACGTGAGCATCTGAAGGATCAGTGACACTCCCAGTCCAAGTACCTGAAATAATTGTCGCACATTCAGAAACCGTCTGGTGGTTTCAGAACTAAATGTTATTTGGCTTCCTGACAGCTTGACTGTTCTTTTTCTTTCTCAGAATTTTTTTACAGGGATGATAGATTTCCTTCTAAATAGTATCTTTAGACTTCCAAGATGTTCATGATGCCAAAGATCTTGAAAAGCACTACAAAACCAGGAAGCCAAGGCAGTCACCTTATCTCAGAACCTCAAAAACCAGACGTATGGTGCAGTTCCACTTACTGTAAAATGGGAACCCTCTAATAGGGTCAGCAGGACAGCATTTTACACTTACATAAAGGGCATCTATAGTACATGTTATTTTTGAGGGCTGCACAGCATTCCACGTACGCATATATACCAATATGATGAGCAAAAATTCTTAGAGTATTGCTGAGACTGAATATCTCAATCATTTTATATATTTTTAAAAGCTGCCTGTGTTATTTGGTTTTGATTGAATTATTTATGTTCTTTTAATTATAAAATCTTTACTTCAAAACTTTTATAAAGGTATTTTCTGCTTTACCTTTTAACCATATTCAGATTTAAAATGAAAACATACAGAAATATTTAATTTTGAGTCATCAAAATTTCTCATTTTATCTCCTGTGGCTAGTTTCTAGCTTTCATCTGACACTTAGAAAGTTTTTCTCTACCTTGTGAAAATAAATTTATTCTTATCTTTTTTCCTTTTTTAAAGAAATCTTTATTTTTCCTCTTTACAAAAGTATGCATGCCAATTGTTTAGAAAACTAAACAGAAATAAATTAATTTAGGTAGAACACAATATGTGTTTTCCTTTCCAAGAATGAGCTTTCTCTTTTCATTTGTTCAAGTTTCCTTTGGTAGCCCTCGGTGGAGATTTTTAATTTCCTCCATATAGGTCTGCCACAATCATTGTTTATTCCTAGAAAATATTTTCTGTGAGGAATGGGATATTTTCTTACATCATATTTTCCAGTCCTCACTGGTATAAAACTAACTTTGGATATTTCTTTTTAATTGTTCATCCTTTTCTGATTAAAAATTAAATTTAAAAAACACTTGTTTCCATGTGAAGACTCTATGTCATATTCACTTCCCTCTCAGGGTTTCCCATCAGGATAAATCTGATGATATTCAATCCATTTTGGCATTAACCTTCAGATTTTTCTACACCTTTATTATTAGGACTTTCCTTCACTATGGACACTCTGATGCTGACTAAGTTGGAAACTAAACCTGAAGGCTTTTCCACACACATTACACACATAGGGTTTCTTCCAGGTGTGAACTGTCTGATGTATAATACAGTCAGAACTAAAGCTGAAGCCTTTCCCACAATCCATACATCTGAAGGGCTTCTCTCCAGTGTGGCTTCTCTGATGTCGATTTAAATGTGCATTAACATGGAAGGCTTTTCCACACTCCTTACACTGAAAGGGTTTCTCTCCAGTATGGATTCTCTGATGCACAATATAGTCAGAACTACAGCTGAATGCTTTCTCACATTCTGTACATTTGAAAGGTTTCTCCCCAGTGTGTACTCTCTGATGAGTAGTTAGTTTGGCATTGATACTAAAGGCTTTCCCACATTCCTTACATTGATAGGGTTTCTCTCCAGTATGGATTCGATGATGATCAAATAGGTTTCTTTTAGAAGTAAAGCATTTCCCACATTCATTACATTCAAAGGGTTTCTCCCCAGTGTGTATTCTCAGATGCTGAATTAGTTTTGCATTAACATTGAAGGCCTTTCCACACTCATTACACTCATATGGCTTCTCCCCAGTGTGGATTCTCAGATGCTGCCGAAGGTGAGAGTTACACCTGAAGGCTTTCCCACATTCACTACATCCATAGGGTTTCTCACCTGTATGGATTCTCTGGTGCTGAATTAACTTCCCTTTGACACTGAAAGCTTTTCCACATTCAGTGCACTCATAGGGTTTCTCACCTGTGTGGATTCTCTCATGCTGCATTAGTTTTGCATTAACATTGAAGGCCTTTCCACACTCTTTACACTGATAGGGCTTCTCTCCAGTATGGATGCTCTGATGCTGTTTAAGCTGGGAGCTGCACCTGAAGCCTTTTCCGCACTCATTACATTCATAAGGTTTCTCTCCAGTATGGATTCTCTGGTGTTGAATTAATTTTGCATTAACACTGAAAGCTTTCCCACAGTCATTACACTCGTAAGGTTTCTCTCCAGTGTGGACTCTCTGATGTGTAATATATGCAGAACTACAGCTGAAGCCATTTCCACATTCCTTGCACTGATAGGGCTTCTCTCCTGTATGGATTCTCTGGTGCCTGCTTAGACTCCCATGAACACTGAAGGCCTTCCCACACACCTTACACTGATAGGGCTTCTCCCCACTGTGGATTGTCTGATGTGTGATATAATGGGAACTGTAGCTGAAGCTTTTCCCACACTGCACACATTTGAAGGGTTTTTCCCCACTATGAAGTCTTTGATGCCAAATTAATTTTTCATTAATGCGGAAGTTTTTGCCATACTCCGTACACTTATAAGGCTTCTCCTCACTGTGGGTTTCTTGATGCTGATTAAGTTGAGAGTCACACCTAAAGGTTTCCACTAATTCTTCACATTTGAAAGGTCTTTCCCCAGAATTAATTATGTCATGCTTAATAAGTTTTGTGTCAAAGCTGGAGGCTTTCGCCAGTTCTGTACACTCAAGGGGCTGCTCTTCAGTGGAGATGGTATGACACTGATACAAGTTTGGACTCTGACTAAAGAAAAACTCCTCCATGGGGCTTGTGTCATTTTTCACTGGTCCATCAATGATGCTGATCTCGTCCTTCACATTTCCTGCTGAATGAATTTCCTGTTGTTTCTCTAGAATATAGGCTTCTGAGTAATTGGTTTCCTGGGAAAATTCCCTTTGAAGTTCAAATGATGTATAATCTTTTTCTTCACACATTTTTTCCATCAAATTATTGTTAGTCTGGATATCAATATCTACTATAAAAAACAGAAAACATAAAATGTCATGTAAGAACCAGAGTTAGAAAAAAGAAAAAATCTGCACTATAAAGGATCATAATCAAGGAGCTCTATAAAGTCATGTTTCTGAGAAACCCATCATGCATGATCTTTAGCTAAGGACAGAAAACATTAATGTAGTCAGTGTGTGGGTTAATTGGGGTTGCTCAAAAACATCAAAGACTCCAGGAACCTGCTGCCTATAGAATGAAACCCAGACTCCTTTCATTAAAGATCTCAGTATCACCTCCCTGACCCCTATTTATCAAGCGTATTATACTGCAAATTCTCCATTTCCAAAACATGACCAAGGACAACATCCTTGGTTAGGTATCATCTGACAAAGTGATCAATTCAAAAACAGCGAAAACATGTAAGAATAATGAAGATTCATTGAAAAAATGCAAGAGAATCTCATGGACCCCAAGTGAAGGAAATAAAAGTGAAGCCTCAGGGGAAAGGAGAAGTCGCCTGGCAGCTACTCTCCTTGCGCTGGTTAGAACCTTGCTACTTCAAGTGTGGTCAGTAACCAGAAGCAACCTGGGACTGTATCAGAAATACATACTCTTGGCCCTGTCCCAGACTTCCCAGAGGAAGCCTCCCCAAGGGATTCATTTACATATTAACACTTAAGAAGCAACTGAAAGCATTTTTCCCCCATAAGGGGGAAAAGTAAGGCTCTGTTCTGACCTTACTTCCGCTATAATGTACAGCTATCTCCCCTCCACAAAAAAAATAAGAATATTTAATTTTGCACACATTATAAGCTAAGCACTTGATATGTATTATTTCATTTAATCCTCAACCCTCAAGACTAGTACTATTACATCCTTTTATTATTATCCCACTTTCAGAAATGAGATGACTGAATCTTAGAAAACTGAAAGAACTAAGCTACTTTGAAGTCACACAAATAGCAAGTAGCACAGTTGGGACTGGACCTCAGGAAAGTCTAAAGACTATGCTTTCTACTGCTTGAACCACTTCTACTTTTATTTTCCTTTTTTGAGAGAAGGTCTCACTCTGTTGCCTGGGCAGGAATGCAGTGGCATCATGATAGCTTACAACAACCTCAAACTCCTGGGCTCAAGTGATCCACCCACCTCAGCTTCCCAAGAAGCTAGGACTACAGGGTATGTGCCACTATGCCTGATTTATTTTTACCCTATAATGGGGTCTCACAATGCTGCCCAGGCTCACTTCTGCTTTTTTATGTTAGAAGACTTTTAATTCTATATCCTCTACATTAAGTGGACAATGCTTAGAAAATGGCATGGGCTTCAAAAATTATTAATCCATTAATTTTGTCTGAAAAACACAGGATTCCAAAATTAGGATCACAAAGAGTTAGAATGAGGTATTTGGGGGAAAAAATATCTCTTCTTGGAATTAGACACAGCAAACTGCAAAGATAGACAAAACTGTACCTATCTCTATAAATCAACAAAACTTACCCAATTTTACTCTCTATGGCTGGCCAATAAATGTGACATGTTTACATGTTGCTAAAGTTGGCTTTCTTCCTAAAAAACTAACCTTTCCAACAGAATGGGCAGCATGTGCTCCCTTACCAGTCAAGAAGCCCTGAGGGCCTGGTTCTGTTCCAAAAGCCAATGGTGATGGGTCCCCCAGCTCACCTACTCCCTCCAGTTGTGAGATCACAGCAGGTTTCAGAAGTGGAAATCCTGTTTGGCAGAAGTAAACAGGACAGATAGATAAATAATTTCCTACATATAAGTTTCTAAGCCGCTTCTCAAGTTCAACTTAGCAATGGGAAGGGAAGGTAAGAACCCTAGGAGTCTCAAGCCTAAGGACCATGAGAAAGGGTTGGGGGCTTGGGAAGAGGTGTGTGGGAAAGTACGTGAGATCTTGGGAAAAGCCCAGCCTGCAAGCTGGGACAAGCAAGGCGATTCTGCACAAAGGGATACTAGTTTTTGATATTAGTGTGAAATATTTAAAAGTCCACTGAGATCCTTTAAAAGATTCAAGATACAGGTGAGGTGAGAGGGGATCTGAAGTGCTACTATGGAACAGGAAGTTACTGTATTCTACACTGTGTCCAAAACATAGCTGCTACAGAGTGGATCAAAAGTGCACACTAGTTCCAACAGAGTCCCTTATAGGCCTACAAAGAGTGTCTACAGGATTAGAACAGCCCTGGGGTTCCCACTCAGTAAAGGATTACCAAAGACCCCACCTGTAACCTATAAGGGGGAAGGAAGCCAGAAACCCCAAGTGGCAGAGTCTGGGTCCCAGGGGGAGACAGGCCTTACCCAAGGAGGCCACATTGTCATAATTCTCCAGCATCACATCCCTGTACAGGGCCCTCTGTGCAGGAGACAGACCATCCCATTCTGTCTGGGTGAAGTACACAGCCACATCTTCAAAGGTCACCAACTTCTGAAACAACAGGTTCCTGCTACCCTAGGGCCAATTTCATGGCTCAAGCCCTAAGTGAGGGTCAGAAGGCAGTACAAGGGTTTGGGAGTGATCTTGTGAGAGCACAAAACTAGTAACAAGGGAAAGATTTGAGAAAAAGCACCAGGAAAGTAAACCACAAGATAGCTGACCTCTCCCACAGCAGAGAAATCTCATGCCATTTTCATACTTATAAAAGTGTAAGAGATAATGTAAGCTGGGCTGAAAGAAAAACACTTTTCCATAACCAAATTCCTCCAAAGCAACCAACTCTGCTCTTTTAGACAGGTCACTTCCTTATTAGTAGACTCAGGATCCGCCCAGTTCCCAGGTTGTGTCATCCCCTTGAGGTCCTGGCTCCCTTGTGCCTGACCTCAGCTCCATTCTACTCCCCATACCTTGCCCTCATCCTCACACCTCAAGCTGCCTGCTAATACCGTCATGGTTTCCATCTCATCCAGCCCCTATCTGCCTCTGTTTGATCACCTCCTCTAGACTGGGGAGGGTGGGAGAGAAGGTCTCCTGTCTTCTGAAAACCCAGCATTTTCTATTACCCTCTCTCATTTAAGCCTCATCCTTTCCAACCATTCCCAAGACTTCACTGTTTCTCCATGAAGGCTTGGGAAAGAAGGAAGATCAGGTTTCCCAATGACTAGCCACCCTGCCACCCTTTCAGTTTCTCTTCTTTACACCACTAAGCTACGTGGTCAACACAAACTCTGCCACTCAGCACTGATGCTGGATGTCACTTCCAGGCCCAAACCTCCCTCCTGGGCAGCTGTGGCCTCTGGCTGGTTCTCTGCCCACTTCAGCATTCCATGAAGACTCTGAAGACTCACTGGCAGGCATTTGCCTGTCAACTCTTTTCTGCCAGGACTTATCTTCCTTAATCCTACTGACCTCCACCAATCAACAGTTCTGGTCCCACCTTAGTCTAGGTGTTTCTGTGAGTCCTCTTTATGTGACCTTGGACAGACCAAGTAACTTCTCTGCACAAAATTAAAGGCTTCACCTGCCACCACCCTTTTCCCCAATAAGTTGGCACTTCCTCCTGAACCCACACCTCAGGTGGTATCAGCACCACTGCCACAGGAAATCACAGTTAGACCATCCCATTCTTGTCTTCCCTCCCCGGTCCTTTATTTTCAGCCCTAATTCTTGACTCTGTTCTCAATAGTTTTGTGTCTTAAGCACTACTTGAGTTGGATCCCTCTTCTTTAACTACTATCCTTGATGAAGTCTACCTCACCTGGACCAATGGGATTCTTTCTGAAGTAGTCACTTTGCTTTTGAAACTTTCCTAAAAATTTTTTCAGACACAGCACAAATCTAACCAAATTAACATTACTGGTTCCACAGTTGTATGGCTAAGCAGTTATGAATCTCACAATAACTTTGTGACCTTGGGCAGGTTACTCTTCTTCCCTTCATTTCCTTTCAGTAGAAAGAGATAATACACCACCTATTGCAGAGGGCACCTGTCAGGACTGAACAATCATGCAAAGGGGCCTCAAATGATGCTACTGGTATTACTGTGACTATGATTATTCCCAACCTGTAGTCCATGGAGGTCCATGGATGAGCTTCAGGGGGTCCATGAAGTCCCTGAAAGTGTATGGAGAATTTGGTTTGTAGGTTTATTTTTCTAGAGGAGAAGGTGGAGAGCTCTTATCAGAGACTAAAGTCTGAGCCACTGCATCCCAAGCCCTAAAAGCCTCACAAGGACAATGAGACACTGTCCCACAGGGCTCGTTGTCCGTCCCTTTCCTTGATTCCACTCCCCCTTATCTTCCCCCACACCTGAATTCAAGGCACAGCCATTGCTCTCTTTGACCTGGTCTTGCTACTCCTCTCCCTACACCAGCCCCCTACACTGATGCTCCAGTACTCTGCAACTCTCCTTCATTAGTATCATGCACACAGCATCCTATACAGGCAGCTTCCATGTCCCCACCACCCTAGAGCCCTATGCAGGAATGCACCTGCACAGAAGTGTGCAGAAGATCACCCTCTGCCTTTGAACTTAACTCTCCTGCTGCCTCCTACTTGGCACCATCCTGGTCCACGCCACCCTCCCTCCATCCCATCTCCCTCCCACAAGTTCTAGTCCATCAGGTAGATGAACTTTCATCCCAAGGATCACAAATTTCTTCTCACTTCTCCTCAATCTGAAACTGCCCAGAGGAAGAGCTGAAGGATCCACAGCTAACCTGGGGCCAGGCTGTCAGGAGCATGGCTACATCACCTGGTCTCCATTCAGAGCAGGACTGGAGCTGAGGAGAAATGCAGAAAGAGGCAAGTGTGAGGCAAGTTACCCCCATCAGGAGTGGCACACCCCTCAGAGAAGATACCAAACACGGTAACCTGCATCCAAGCAGGAGTGTGAACAGGAGCTCCCACAGGAAAAAGGTGGTGATCTGTTCACTGGCTTGGTGCCTATGACATTGACACAGCCAAGAATCCTACCTAGGGTTTTACAATTCTGATATACATACCATACATTCAAAAAGAGTGTATATAAGATGTGTGCACAGCCTAAGAGATGATAAAATGAGACAGAACACATATATTTTAGGAAAATATAAAATTTCAAGACTGATGTTAGAAGCAGTAAAAATCAGAAAATAACCAGTCATTGCAGCTCAATTCACAATCATCAAGACATGGAAGCAGGCTCAGCGCCTGTGGCTCAAGCAGCTAAGGCACCAGCCACATACACCTGAGCTGGTGGGTTCAAATCCAGCTCAGGCCCGCCAAACAACAATGACAACTTCAACCAAAAAAAAAAAAAAAAACATGGAAGCAACCAAGTGCCTGTCAACCCACAAATGGATTAACAAGCTGTGGTATATGTATACAATGGAGTACTACTTAGCCATATGAAAAGATGAAGGCTTTACATCTTTTGTGTTTACCTGGATAGAGTAGAAATGAACCACATTCTTCTTAGTAAAGTATGTCAAAAATGGGAAAAAAAGAATCCAGTATATTAAATACTAATATAAAACCAATATATAAACAATGACACATTCATACCAAAGGAGAAAAAAAAATACAGTCTAGCAAGGGTGAGAGGAGAAGGGGAAGAGGGGAGGGAGGAGGAGGAAGGGCGATTGACAGAATCTGTCCTAATGTGCACAATATGAGGGTATTCAGCACACTCCCTGGGTGAAGGGCTCAACTACAACTTGAACTTTACTTAGATATGAAAACAATGTAACCTAACATTTGTACCCTCATATTAATATGAAATTAAAAAATGAAAAAAATATAACCAGTACCCGTGTTTTTGAAAAATCAATAAGAGGTTCCAGGGATGCTATTTGGGTCTCTTTTCTCAGGGGCTGGCAGAAGTCTAAGCCTTGGTTTATTTGCTATGAGAAGGCTGGAAAGTATGAGGAGCCAGCCTAGTACCTCACTTCCAGTCCAGATCCTCAAGGTAAGCCTGAGCCATGCAGAGGCTGACCTACCAAGATTCCTAAAGAGGCATTTGACTTCTTGGGGACATCAAGGGCTCTGAAAGAATGGGGTAATGTCAGGAAGGAACTGCTTCCTTTTCCAGGCCCTGCTTTCCTAGGGCCTGACTTCCCCTTCCAGTGTGCTGGGGCTGCGGCCCAGTCAACCTAGATTCTCTTGCAGTATCATCGAGGGTGATGCTTGTTTAAGAGAACAAGAAACAAGTCAAAGATCTTGGAAATAGCCTGTCTCTTAAACTGAATCATTGTTTTATTATCCTTTATACCAGTGGTTCTCAACCTTCCTAATGCTGCAATGTATTTTCATTGTTAAAAAAGAGTCATGACCCACAGGTTGAGAGCCGCTGCTTTAGACACCTTGTAATTAACCTAGGCAAAGTGAAAATGAAAGAGAAAGTTCTTTAAGCAGCCAGGCATAAACAGCAGCTGACTTCTCAGCAAAAACCTTTCAAGCCAGAGAGTAGGCTCCTACCTTTCTATCTTCTTAAACAAAACAACTTCCAACCTAGGATTCTGTATCCTGCAAAACTAAGTTTCATATTTGATGGAGAAATCCAATCTTTGACAAGCAATCATTGAGAAAATGTGCAACTACAAGACCTACTCTGCAGCAAGTACTCGGACTTGTTCTAAACACAGACCAACACAACAGACTCCCAGTAAAATAAAGATACCTGGAAACCAAAGGACAAAGCCTAGCTACCACAATGGTCCACATGAAATCAGACCTAAATGAAACTGAGAACAAATGAACCACTCAGAAGACTAATAAAACAAGACAACAGAGTTCACACAACCAACTCCACCCTACTCATCAATCCTCTCAATAAAGCAAACAGCTTGAATTCTCCACTGAAGAGACACATACTGGCTGACTGGATTTAAAAATACAAGACAAGTATATGCCATCTCCAGGAAACACATTTAAGGCAAGACTCAGGGTGACGGGCTAGAAAATATATTTTGTGCAAATGGTAACCAAAAGAAAGCGGGAGTTGAAATTATTATTGTAGGTACAACTGACTTTAAAGCAACAAAAGACAAGATGGTCAACGGAACAACCTAGTAAGGAGATATTTTATTTGTTTGTTTGGTTTTTGTTTTTTTTTTTCAGATTTTGGCCGGGGCCAGGTTTGAACCTGCCACCTCCAGCATATGAGGTCGGTGCCCTACTCCTTGAGCCACAGGCGCTGCCCGTAAGAAGATATTTTAATGCTAAATATTTATGCACCCAACTTAAACGTTCCCAGACTTACAAAGCAAACACTACTAGGTCTGAACAAAATGATACACACCACCACCTACTAACTAAGGATTTCAACACCCCACTGATAGAAGTGGACAGATCCTCTAAGCAAAAACTAAGCAGAGAAACAATGGACTTAAATATGACCCTAAAACAAATGGGCTTAACAGACATATACAGAACATTGCATCCTAGTGCTACTTAATGTACATTCTCATCAGCTCATGGATCACTCTCCGAAATCAATCATATCCTAGGTCTTAAATCAAATGTCAACATATCTCAATTCCAACAGAAACACTTATCCCCATGCAGTCATAAAAACTAAACAACCTATTGCTATACAATAACTGTGTCAAGGAGGAGATAACGAAGGAAATCACTATATTCCTTGAAAAAAATGACAATGAGGCTACAAGCTACCAAAACTTGTGGGATAGGGCACAAATAGTCCTAAGAGAGAAATTCATCCAGATTAAATGCCCACATCCAGAAATCAGAAAGAGTGCAAATAAACAATCCAATGAATCATCTCAAGGAACTGGAAAAAGAAGAGCAATCTAATCCTAAACATGGCAGAAGAAAAGAAATAACCAAAATGAGATCAGAACTAAATGAAATTGAGAACAAATAAACCATTTGAAAGATTAACAAAACAAAAAGTTGGTTCTATGAAAGACAGATAAAAAACAACCACCCTTGGCCAAATTAAACAGATACAGAAAAGTAAAATCTCTAATAAACTCTACCAGAAACAAAAAAGGGGGAATAACAACAGATACAGAAATACAAAGATCATCATACAAAAATCTCTATACCCAGAAATTTGAAAACAGGAGGAAATAGACAAATTTCTGGAATCATACTACCTCCCTAGACTCAATGAGGAAGAAGTGAAATTCTTGAACAGAACAGTATTAAGCACCAAAATTGAAATAATAATAAATCTTCCAACAAAAGAAAGTACCAGACCAGACAGTTTCATACCAGAATTCTACCAAACCCCCAAACAAGATCTTGTATGTATAGTGCAAAATATATCCTAAAACACTGAGAAAGAAGAAACCTTCCTCAACTCCTTCTAGCTAGCAAATATCACCCTGATACCAAAATCTGGAAAGGACACAACATAAAAAGGAAACTACAGAGCAATATCATTAATAAACACTGACATAAAAATACTTAATAAAATCTTAACAAATAGAATTCAGTCATGTCAAAAATTAATTCTCACAACCAGGTAGGCTTCAACCTAAGGATTCAAGGCTGGTTCAACATACGCAAATTTATAAGCATAATTCATTACATAAGTAAAAACAAAGATCATATGATTCTCTCAATAGACACAGAAAAAACACTTGACAAACTTCAGCATCCTTTTTTAATAAGAACACTTAGGAAAACTGGCAGAGATGGGATATTCCTTAAACAGATAAAAGCCATCTATGACAAACATTATAGTGAACAGAGAAAAACTGAAAGCATTCCTGCTTAGATCTGGAACCAGACAAGGATGTCTACTATTGCCACTATTCTTCAACATAGTGCTAGAAGTCCTAACCAATGCAATCAGACAAGACAAGGCTATCAAGGGTATCCAAATGGGGACAGAGGAGGTCAAATTAGCACTCACTGATGATATGATCTGATTCCTAGAAAACCCCAAGGACTCAACCACAAGACTCCTGGAATTAAAAAGAAATAGAGAAACATCTTGGGTTACACAATTAATGTACACAAATCAGTAGCCTTTATAAACAATAGTTAAGCTGAGAATCAAATCAAAGACACATATTCTTCACAGTAGCATCAAAGAAAATGAAATACCTCAGAATATATTTAACAAAGAATGTGAAGGATCTCTACAGAAACAACTAAAGAAAC